GTGATGAGAAAACAGTGGGCAGGTTTATCAGGATATCCAAATCAACAGTATATCTGGTTATGTGTGAAGTGGAGGTGACGGGTATAAAACAGTAAACATTAACTGTTACAGCCAGAATATAGTGGAACCTGACTTATATAAACATTAACTGTTACCATTACCATTATCTAAACAAACCATGGTATATCATAATTGTATTGTAGGTACTATCCCATTCTGTCGGTAGTATTGTATCTATCATCATAGCTACCCAATTGCTTAACTATACTCACTGGCTACTCTTCACACTTAATTAGTTTTTGTAGAATAAACCCCTTTGATCTTGTTGTTGTCCTGTATGGTTTCATGAATTGTTGTTACAGTTTTCTGTATATATTGATCTCATTATTCTTGTATTACTGTATTAGCTTGATAACGTTGAGAGAATACTCTTCGAAACGTCGCCCAAATAAATAAGTAGCTGTTTTTCCATAAGTATGTGTTTTTTGTGTATTGTTACAGTCAGAATATAGTGGAACCTGACTAATATAAATAAACATTAACTGTTACAATATAGTGGAACTCGACTAATATAAACAAATATAGGCCTGAAATATTATCTGAATTACTAATTAGACATTAATTAACTTATCCAGACCATAATTAACTCTCGATGATATCGCTATCCTGCAAAACTTACTGGATTATAATCCGATCTGCTGCTCAACGCCCATTCATCAAAAAACGGGATTATCGAGACTATGTTTTTTTTTTATCGCACCGACTTTAGTAATGATGATCGGGGCTAAGCCCAAAATTTAATCGCTAAATTCTTGGTTCATAGTGGATAAATTTGACTGAAAATTTCAGCAAATTGCCTTTACATTATCTAGTTTTTAACTATTATAATGAGAACTACCAGTTCTTTATCTAATCTCCCATAATGTATCTTTAAATACATACAGTCAAATAATTCTGACCCCGTTCACATTAAATACTGTACAGAAATTTTACTATTTACAGACAAGTATTGTTAATATTTCTGCGATATTCGCACACAACAAAAATACATAGGTTAAATAAAGCTAGTTGTAACATGTACTGGGAATCTACCTTTGTTATCATCAATGAGGAAGCCACAATGGCTACATCAGTAAGACACCGCATCACTGGGCAGGGAGTCTCAGACAGGGACGGGGAGACCTTTTTGTATGAGGAACAAGGTCCCGCCCGCGCCCCCATAAAACAATATTCATATGTGTATGCGGGCGAGGGTGGGGTCCCTTCCAGTGCCACCGGGTAATATTGAGCTGTTTGGAAAATGGTAAAGTCGATGTGAATCACGGTATATAATTGACACTGGTTAAGCATTATGATTATAATGTTGAAAACCGCATTTGAACCGCGTGATTTTTTGCAATTAGCGAGGGGGACACAAAAACTCAAGGGGGCGCAAAAACTCAAAACCATGACGATCGTCCCTCTGACTCGGGTCTCGGGTTAGTCTAGAAACTATTTAATGAATGTTATTGGCAATAATATCGTACATCTGTGGGCCACTTTAGCAGATTCAAAGATTCGAGATAACTTCCATGGAAGGATTCATTTATAAAAGGTTAGCAGACAGAGGTAATACATCATACGTGTTACCAGATATCTCCAGTCTGTTCCCCATCACATGTTCATGCATCATATACTGTCAACTAAATAATAGTTCGGTAAGACATAATTACCTGTAGTACAGATGAGAAAATTACAGTACTAGTGGGGCGAATATGTAACATTTTTTGGTCGAGTTGTGCAATGAGGGTTTTGGGGTATGCTGATTTCAAAAATGACGGGAACCAAACGTCACTCAAGCCGTTCCCGCCAAAAATTGAGAAATTCAAAATGACCGCCATAAAACACATTCTCATCAATAAAATTTCTGTAAGTGCACCGATTTCAATGATTTTGATGTCTATACCTATGTTTTTGAGGTCAAGGAATCCATCAAAACGGTGATGCAGGACGGAGTGTCTGGTCGTTGGGATGGGAAGAAAAAACGAACACTGGTAGCGTTGTATGGATAAACCTGCATATGAATGATTTCATCTGTCATATCCATTTTATTTATTTCATTCTATTTATATGTATTGTTTCATCTGTTATAACCGTTTTATTTATTTCATTCTATTTATATGTATTATTTCATTCTATTTATATGTATTGTTTCATCTGTTATAACCGTTTTATTTATTTCATTCTATTTATATGTATTATTTCATCTGTTATAACCGTTTTATTTATTTCATTCTATTTATATGTATTATTTCATCTGTTATAACCGTTTTATTTATTTCATTCTATTTATATGTATTATTTCATCTGTTATAACCGTTTTATTTATTTCATTCTATTTATATGTATTGTTTCATCTGTTATAACCGTTTTATTTATTTCATTCTATTCATCTACTAAAGAGTTTTAACACGTTTCAGTCACAAGAATCTGCCCGCTTGAATTCTTGGTGAACTCTAATCCAGATTTGTAAAACTGATATTTTTGTGACTCTAATCCGTAAAGAGAATCTTGATTTAGTTGTTCAGTGGTCAGACACTCTCACGAGGTCAATTGTAAATACTATTACAATACATACAAAACAGACATAGTTTTTCAGACGACCATGATTGATATTGTTTCCGTTTATCAGAACACCGGATCAAAGAGTTTTATCATCTTTTCAATGTGCCTGCTTCTCTCTTTTAAGATCGTAGTTCTCAAATATAACACCAGATCAAACTAATGGCCCAGCTCAAACAGGTTTATCATCGTTCACATAAATGTTATATAGGTTTATATACAAATCTTCTCGGTTCTTTTCGATATTGGTACCATGCATCAAACCCTAACTTCATGAATTATGCCCCCTCATTGCTACCTTGTGAACACTCTAGAGAGGTCACAATTTTTGAAATATATCACCGTTACACCTGACCCCCGGATCCGTTCACTTGATTAGATATTTGTTTATTTGGTGCAATGTCTATTTTCTGTCTTGTTCGCAGGTTTATCTTGTAGATTTTTTTTATATTTTTTTTTGCGTGTAGTTCGGTCCTCCTGCACTTACTATAATGATTGCTGAATTCGAATTTCGTGAAAATTGGACCGAAACTGCCCGTCAAAATCGTCGTTCACTGTACGCAAATAGTGTACAAGTACGCAACACCAAGGTTGTGGCCCTAAGAGGACACAATTTTTGTCTGATTTTGATGAAACTTAATACATATGTTTATATCCAAAAGATCGCGGTTCCTGTTGATATTGACATTTGTCGGACCGTAATGTCCAGGATTATGGCCCCTGATTGTACGAAAAATCGCTTATTCAGCTCATACCCTTTCCATCTCTTGTGTATAAAATTTACCATATTCACATTTAATGATTGAAGTCTTAAGATGAATTACCAGGCAATTAAACTTAATAATACTAGAAACTAGAAACGCTATTGTTCTCGAGCCCTCTATTCGTCGACTAACGCTTTAAGTTTGATCTTAAAATTCATAAAATCGATAAAATTCACAAGGCATAAAACAAAATGTTAGAAACTGTAATTGTTTCTCGTCTGTCTAAGATGTTCAAGGAATTTTTTTAGAAGATCAAGATCCATTGTGCTCTCCTATTGTCAAGTCCTCCAGATATCAGTGCGAATTACTTGTATAATTTACTCGAGATAAGACAATTAAAAGAATGAAATTGTTAACCAATTCTGGATTGGTTGCTTTGCTTTGTTTTTCAAAAGAGAAATGTCCTGTATGAGACTAGCTACATATCGTATAAATATAAATACACCAGGCTGAACCAGTCATAGAAAGATTCTTGTAGCGGGTTGAACCAGTAATAGAAAGATACCGGTAGAGGGTTGATGATGACATTGACACGTCAGGTAAGTGAGAAATGTTTCTCCTTTACGATGTATTTACGGAAATGGAATAGGGCATCACTGATAAGAAGGGTAAATCATTTCAGGCAAAGGGCACTTCCATCCTTATTATTACACTTCTTTGTCGCGATGTATTGATGGAAATAAAACGAAATACAGTATAAGATGTACAACTTATAAGCGGAAATCACGTTGAAAAAAAAAATCCTGAGGGACTGTTTAGGCCAACACGTTCCCAAATTCCTCTGAAATTTCGTTCCATCACTCCATCACAAATTCCTCTGAATTCTCGTTCCATCACAAATTCCTCTGAAATTTTCGTTCCATCACTCCATCACAAATTCCTCTGAAATTTCGTTCCGTCACACATTCCTTTGAAATCTCTTTCCATCAAAAATTCATCATTCATCAAATAAGAAACTCTGGCCATATTAAACAAATGATTTACAAAACCTGACAGTATCAAAACTCTTTTAATCCATTATATCATTATACCAATACTTTTATTATTTTATATTTTGGTATATTTTTCAGATCAACCTTGTAGTTGAGATAAATTGAGCTGGAATTACTGAGGCGGTATATTGATGGTGTCAGCTGGACAGATGTAATTCAAGGTTTTTTTATCTTCCTAATCATATATTCTCCCACCCTTTAAATCTCCAGCAGCCAAGCAAAGATTAAACACTCCGATCCAACAGGCTCGTCAATGGTGTTGACCCCAGGCTCGTCAACGGTGTTCACACCAGTCAATAATAAATAGTATCACGCACCTCGAATAGACTTAATATATTTTACAGTATCACGTACCTCGAATAGACTTAATATATTTTACAGTATCACGTACCTCGAATAGACTTAATATATTTTACAGTAATATCGGTGTGTTCTACAGCAGAGTGGCTGCATACTTCATGAAGATATGTTGTGAATTAAGAGCTAAAACGATTAATTTACATAAATTTACAACATGTTTCCAGAACTTCATATTCTTTTGACAATTCTTGTCATTGGATACCAGATGAACAATTTAAATTGTTTATGTCCCGATTATTGGTTGGGATTTAAGCGTATTGTTAAAAACGTGCTACCACACTCAGCACTTGAAATGGTGTCTAAAGATTCAAAATTGATGTGCGCCTCGGCTTGTAAATTTGAACCACATTGTGTAGCTTTTGCTTTTCATCGACAAAGAAAGGAATGTCATCTTTATACCAGAAATGTGGAAGAACTGGGAAGTGATCCCGACCCTGGAATGAATGTTTTCATGGTGAATACAGGTAGGCAAAGTTATTATGTTGTTTCATGGTGAATACAGGTAGGCAAAGTTATTAAATTGTTTCATGGTGATTACAGGTAAGCTAAGTTATTATGTTGTTTTATATTCTATTACGACTGCATCGTATCTGAACATAATCTCCGTTCAATCCGACGGAAACGTCTAGCCTCGCAGCTGGATGAATGACGTGAAGGATTGTTCACAATAAAAAAAACTGTCGCTTTAGAGTTTATTCCCGACTGTTCAATTACACTTTTCTTTACCAGTTTTGAGTTACTCTCTTGGCTAACTTTCCTCTCTTAGATTTGAAATTTCTGCACTGGAAGCCCAATGCCTCCCCAGTGGAACACCACTGATGTAAAGAAAAGGATAGAGCAAGCGATTAAAGGACAGTTTAAATATTAAAACGTAGAATAGTTGGCCAAGCCACCGACCAATATCAAAGCTGTTTACATATTAGACTGTACATCAATTCAATAGTGGAGAAAGAACAACACGGTCAACATCAAAACACGACCTAGTCGTTCCAAAAACATTGAAAGTATCTTGTGGTGAAAGGGCATTGTCACTTGCAGCACACATCCTAGCAACATTAAAGGAAGCCAGGACTCATCCCAACAACATTAAAGGAAGCCAGGACACATCCCAACAACATTAAAGGAAGCCAGGACACATCCCAGCAACATTAAAGGAAGCCAGCAAACATCCCAGCAACATTAAAGGAAGCCAGCACACATCTCAGCAACATTAAAGGCAGCTAGGACACATCCCAGCAACATTAAAGGAAGGCAGGACACATCTCAGCAATATTAAAGGCAGCCAGGACACATCTCAGCAACATTAAAGACAGCTAGGACACATCCCAGCAACATTAAAGGAAGTCAGGACACATCCAAATAACATTAAAGGCAGCCAGTACACATCTCACCAGCATTAAAGGCAGCTAGGACACATCCCAGCAACAATAAAGGAAGTCAGGTCAGGACACAACCCAGCAACATTAAAGGAAGCCAACACACATCCCAGCAACATTAAAGGAAGCCAGCACACACCCCAGCAACATTAAAGGCAGCTAGGACACATCCCAGCAACATTAAAGGAAGCCAGGACACATCTCAGCAACATTAAAGGCAGCTAGGACACATCCCAGCAACATTAAGGAAAGCTGGGACACATCCCAGCAACATTAAAGGAAGCCAGGACACATCCAAACAACATTAAAGGCAGCCAGTACACATCTCACCAGCATTAAAGGCAGCTAGGACACATCCCAGCAACATTAAAGGAAGCCAGGACACAACCTAGCAACATTAAAGGAAGCCAACACACATCCCAGCAACATTAAAGGAAGCCAGCACCCATCTCAGCAACATTAAAGGCAGCTAGGACACATCCCAGCAACATTAAAGGAAGCCGGGACACATCTCAGCAACATTAAAGGCAGCCAGGACACATCTCAGCAACATTAAAGGCAGCTAGGACACATCCCAGCAACATTAAAGGGAGCTAGGACACATCCCAGCAACATTAAAGGAAGCTAGGACACATCCAAACAACATTAAAGGCAGCCAGTACACATCTCACCAACATTAAAGGCAGCTAGGACACATCACAGCAACATTAAAGGCAGCCAGCACACATCCATCCCGGCAACATTAAAGGCAGCCGGTACACATCTCAGCAACATTAAAGGAAGCCAGGACACATCCCAGCAACATTAAAGGCAGCCAGCACACATTTCGGCAACATTAAAGGCAGTCAGGACACATTCTAGCAATGGTAAAGGAAACCAGTACACATCCCAGCAACATTAAAGGAAGCCAGTACACATCTCAGCGAGATTAAAGGCAGCCAGGGCATCAGAGTCCTTTAATTCATGATTGAAGATTCGCTTATTTAATTGTGAATACCAAACGTGACATTGCACCCTCGAGTAGAAAAGTTGTAGATGAGAGGCGCTATATAAATTCATTATTATTATTATTTACAGATGGGAGCAATGTTGCCAGTCTAAAACCGCCATCAACAAGTTCTGTTGGTGGTCTACAAGCAATGTCAGCAGCTCTAGATAACAACCCAAATACCTGTTTTCAAACACAGAAAGACGATTATCAACCCTGGTTCCTTGTTGATTTGATGAAAACATTTCTAATTCGTTTTATATTGGTGTACAACGAGGATGTGTATCGTAAGTATAGACATTTTATATTGGCCTACATAGTAGTTGTCGGTTAAAGAGCGAGAGAGAGCAATGGGGCTTAACGTCCACTCGACACAAACCAGGTCATTTCAGAAGTAACATATGGTACAATATTTTATGTTGGCCACATGGTAGTTGTCGGTTAAAACTGGCACGCTTGGTTTATGAACGTTTATAACGACGCGATTTTTTACCGTAAGTAAAGATAATTTATAACGACGAGTCTGAAAGTAATCATGATTTATGATCGTTATAACGACCAGACTGTTTATTGTAAGTAATCATGATCTATGTCCGTTTATAACGACGTGACTGTTTATTATTAGTAATTATGATTTATGATCGTTTATAACGACGAGACTGTTTACTGTCAGTAATCATCACGTAATTCATTCCACCTAAACCTCCCTTTTATTCTTACAAGTCTCCTTTCATTCCACTCAAACCTCCATTCAAACTTCCCAAACCTTCCCAAACTGTTTATTATTAGTAATTATGATTTATGATCGTTTATAACGACGAGACTGTTTACTGTCAGTAATCATGATTTATGATCGTTTATAACGACCAGGCTGTTTATTGTAAGTAATCATGATTTATGTCCGTTTATTACGACCAGGCTGTTTATTGTAAGTAATCATGATTTATGTCCGTTTATAACGAGACTGTTTACTGTCAGTAATCATGATTTATGATCGTTTATAACGACGAAACTGTTTATTGTAAGTAAACATGATGAATGTCCGTTTATAACGACAGGACTGTTTATTGATAGTAAACATGGAATAGTTCCAATGTAAACTCCAACATGAATATATATTTATTCAATCTGTATTCCATATTGTTGCTTATGTTTAATTCAACTGAATTAAATAATAGTTACCTTTCGTTCCAGCTGAACGCCTCCATGACGTTAATTATGAGGTCTATGATTCTGATCTAACGGTAAACAACTCTTCAGAAGGTAATTGTTGTGCTTCAGTGGCTGATTACAATACAGGTAAAAACATCATCAGGTGCAAAGATGGCGTCCAGGGAAGATTTGTGAAGATTTCTATCGAAAAGTCAAATTTATTAACTCTTTGTGGAGTGGAAATATTTGGTATACCCGGTAAGTATTTAAGACTCTTTGTGGAGTTGAAATATATGGTATCCCTGGTACGTATTGGATTGGGATTGTGAGGTGGGTAAAATGTTTATTGTGGACGTGTTTGGGCTGCTGTCAGAATATTTGAAAGATTCCATTTCTCGGAATCTAATTGAGGCTTGGGTGGAATGAAGGAAGGTGTTGGGAGAATGACGATAGGCTAAGGTGGAATAAAGGGAGATTCGGTGGAATGAAGGGAGGCGTGGGTGGAATGAAGGGAGGCGTGGGTGGAATGGAAGGGGGCTTTGGTGGTATGAGTGGAGGTTTGGTGGAATGACGGGAGGCCTGAGTGGAATAATAGAGGCTTGGGTGAATGACGGTAGGCTTGTGTGGAATAAATGAAGGTTTGGGAAGTTTGAATGGAGGTTTGAGTGGAATGAAAGGAGATTTGTAAGAATAAAAGGGAGGTTTAGGTGGAATGAATTACGTGATGACGGTCAAACCTTTATTGTGTTTATTTTGGATCAGTGGATCTTTGATACTGTATTTGTGACTATCCGCGCGATCTTATTGTCTATATGATAACCCCACCCCACCCCAATTTCTCTATATAATAACCCAACCCACCTCACCCCAACTCCTCTATATGCTAACCCGACCCCATCGACCCCACCCAACTCCTCTATATGATAACCCCACCCACCCCACCCAACTTCTCTATATGATAACTCGACCTCACCTTACCCCAACCCCTCTATATGATAACCCCATCGCACCCCACCCCAACCCCTCTATATAATAACCCGACCTCACCCACCCCAACTCCTCTATGTTTATATTGATTATAGTTTTATATTTAATAACTGTCACAGAAGTGAATCAGCTGTGTACAATATTTAAATTGGCCATGGTTGAACTTTATTTTAGTGAATGAAACGAGTGACACCTGTAATAAAAGATATGAATGTAAGAAATTACCAGGTAAGACAGACATATTACATACATTTATATAAAATAAAGTCGTGTTTCTGGCTGCAACCTGTGAAAACACAATTGCAAAATATTGTATATTCTAAGCCCTCCCTGGTGCAGCTACAAGCACACGTACTACATGACCACTGGCAGTGATCATTCTTGATTCCTGTGGTGGTACTGAACAACTTCCAAGCAGTTTTAAGTGGTACATATTTCAGCTAATCTAGCCTAGCTGTGATCTGACAATTACATAACTCTGTCAAGGGTACCCCACCACTAGAAATGTCTGTCAGAGTATTTTTGTAATACTTGAAGATGTTAGGTACACTGCTGTACCATTTTCATGTGGTACACTTTTGAGCTAATCTAGCTCAAGAATTCATACCCAGTATCGCAGCCCTCACAGCCACACCCACGACCAGATACCCGACAGACTTACATTTTGATGATACCAGATATGCATGCATTAATACCATATAGGTACAGCTAGGTAGACCCCCTGCGCTCCTGCTCTAATACAATACACCAGGGAAAATATCTTAACAGTCAGTGTGTCAATCATAAATTGCTTTAATTTTAAACTCTGGTGTTTTAGTTGATCCCGGAACCTTCTGGTCATTTAGAAATAAAATAAAACCAAGTACGAACAATCCAAACCATTAGACAAAATTCGAAGTCCTAAAAAAAACGGTATAGGCAAAATAGTGTAATAAGGCAAAATAGTGTAATCAGCAAATGGACTACTCACCGTGTACAAAATACACGACAAACAGTGGTAACAGGTGTCCGGAAGAGTAAGCTTACGCTGCCTGGCGCCACACCCGCCATAGCTGCATCCAAACTATTAGGCGAAATCTCGGTAAAATAGCGTGATTGGCCAATGAACTATCGGTATGCAAAATGCACGTGATGAACAGTGTTAACGATGTAGGAGACAGACATTATCAGGGAGATAGTATACGCATCAATTAAATATATCTAGAATAATAGCCGAGAGAGACATGTTATATTTACCAATCAAATCAATATGACGGCCATAAAACTTTTTAAAGGTTTTAATAAGTTTAGTTCGCAAGTATTCCTGTAGTTGAAGCTTAGATGACAAATGCCTCGATCTACTTAAAAAATCAGAATAAAATGAACAAGCTCTCGCGTAACAAATTAGTTGAGACACAAACATTCCATAAGCTGGTGATATTGGAATGTTACTACTAATAAATGGAAAGTTAACAATCGGAAAGTCAAAGTCATCACGTTTATCGTACAATTTAACACTAAGTTTATGGCAATTGTCAAAATCGAGACGCAAATCCAAGTAGGAAGCGTAATTGTTACCGTCAGTAGTGTTTTTAATTTCGAGCTCATCAGGATAAATATTTCGATTGCAGTTTTATATGAAAATACATAGTGGTTTGAGTTCCAGAATTGGTCCTTTCTATACTTTCAGGGGGTGACAACATTGCTTTAGGAAGACCAACCATACAAAGCTCGACATTTGCTAGTAACCAGAAATCTAGTAAGGCCGTTGATGGAAACAAAGATGGCCTGTTCAGTCCGGCGTTCAGTTGTCAGCACTCTGTTTACCATGACTACAATCCATGGTGGCAAGTTGATCTAGAATGGATGTATGACATCACAAGTATAACTATATCTAACAGATATGATAATAAAGAATGTAAGTTTGTATAAAATTCTTTAGATCTCTCAGAATAATCAGTCTTCATTAACACAGTCGGTTCAGAAAAATACCCTTCTATTCGAAAACCTCTCGATCGCATCAACGTAAAGTTGAATCAAACTACGCGTCTACCATGACAACCTTTAGAACCATGACAACCTTCAGAATAACCTTCAGGTCGCATCGCGCTATAATTGAATAAAGTGGAGTCTGCGCATTTACCAAAGTTGAATGAAACTACGCGACCATCGACAAGCGACATAATGGTAATAAGCAAAAACATAAACCAATGTAAAATTTTATAAAATGACGTAACAGGTTCGAAAAGATTATAAATGAAAACAGGGTATGGAATCAGACCGGGTACCTGGTCAACCTACATCAACGGTTCTCTCATATCATGGGTGGGGTGTAAAGGGCTGACAATGAAATTTTGAAGGAAGAAAAATTGAGGTTCATGTACAAACTGGCATTCGACGAAAATGTTCTATAAATATAATTATTATTATTATTACCTCAAGGCGACTCGTAATTGTTTGGGCAAAATTAAAAACATCTTTTGGGGTTGAAAGAAAGGTCCCTTCTCGTAAAAGATAAAACGAACCCCTTCAATCTAGAGTTGTGTTTGTATTTATTTCAGTTGGTGGTGAACAGTTGTCTGATGTGACTGTAATGGTATACGATACAGATCCAACTGTCGGTAATCCAACTTCTAAACTCTGTATATTTATACCAGGAGTGTTTGGATGTACCGTGAGAACATTTGAATGTGATGAGAAAACAGTGGGCAGGTTTATCAGGATATCCAAATCAACAGTATATCTGGTTATGTGTGAAGTGGAGGTGACGGGTATAAAACAGTAAACATTAACTGTTACAGCCAGAATATAGTGGAACCTGACTATTATAAACAAACATTAACTGTTACAGCCAGAATATAGTGGAACCTGACTTATATCTATAAACATTAACTGTTACAGCCAGACCTAAATATTGTCAACAAACATCACATATTTTACAGACAAGTATTATTAATATTTCTGCGTTATTCGCGCACAACAAAAATGCCTAGGTTAAATAAAGGTAGTTGTAACATGGACTTGGAATCTACCTTTGTTATCATCAATGGGGGGGGGGGGCACAATGGCTGCATCAGTAAGACACCGCATCACTGGGCAGGGGGTCTCAGACAAGGGCGGGGAGACCTTTTTGTATGAGGAACAAGGTCCCGCCCGCGCCCCCATAAAACAATATTCATATGTGTATGCGGGTGAGGGTGGGGTCCCTTCCAGTGCCACCGGGTAATATTGAGCTGTTTGGAAAATGGTAAATTAGATGTAAATCACTGTATATGTTTGACACTGGTTAAGCATTATGATTATAATGTTGAAAACCGAATTGGAACCGCGTGATTTTTTGCCATTAGCGAGGGGGCACAAAAACACAGGGGTGGGGGGGGCGCAAAAACTCAAACCCATGACGCAAAGCTGGTTATGGCGTCCCTCTCACTGGTCTCGGGTTAGTCTAGACATTTTATCAACACTATTTAATGAATGTTATTGGTAGTAATATCGTGCATCTGTGGACCACTTTAGCAGATTCAAAGACACGAGATAATTTCCATGACAGGATTCATTTATAAAATGTTAGCAGAGTTAACACCTCACACGTTTTACCAGATATCTCCAGTCTTTTCCCCCATCACATGTTAACGGACAGAGTAACACCTCACACGTTTTACCAAATATCTCCAGTCTTTTCCCCATCACACGTTCATGCATCATATACTGTCAACTAAATAATAGTTCAGTAAAAAATAATTACCGCTAGTACAAATGAGAAAATTACAGTACTATATTCCCGAGTTAAAGCACGCGAGTTCTGATACGCCTGAACATGCCCCGAGTTGCATCGTAATAACACTTTACGATATGGTACTTAAATGAGAAGTAACACGTGGCAGGGACATTAGAGACACCACTGGTCCGTATCGCGTATCCGTATTGATTTTATGTGTGACGTCATCAATGCGTGTGTATTTCTCATACGTTATACGACACACGGATACGGTAGCACGTATCGAACATCTTTCATACAGAAAAGGTCCGTATAACATCGTCGTCTTTTTTGCTACTTTTAGACGCTGAAATGTTGTGCCGTAGCGTTTTTATGAATCTATGTGTATCCTAGAACACGAATGTGTATATTTGGTGTGATTTTAACCATGGCAAAGACTGGAATTTAATCATTACTGTTGATGAGCTTTTTGCGGAATTTTCATATTTTTCCTGTCTGTCTGCATGCTGGTTGATCTACGTGATAAATTTATGGAGGTGGGACCCTGCAAATCTGTAAAAGGGGTAAAAACTTTTTGAAATGATACATTAGAGAAACCAAAAATTGCTGTCGAGTTGAAGTCGAAGATTTTTAAAATAAGATTCGACATTAAATGTTTTTTTTAAATTTTAAATAACTCAGCGACTGTCGAGCGACTTTACTCCTTTCAGGAATTTGTAGGCTAGTCACCAACTGCCATCATGTTGTAATTGACCTCAGCTCAGCTAGCCATACGTACGCGGCGCGAGAATTCTGCCAAAACTCTAAAAACTACATTGACGCAACGTATCACGTGATGATACGGATACGTGATACGGATGGGAAAAATTCCACTTGCCAAAAGTCTCTATTAACTCCATCTAACGAACGGACTTAAGTCAATACAACATACGAACACTCACACAGTCTAGCTGGTCACAGCAAGACAGTTGTTGTTATAACGTCAAATAGATTGCACATGATATTATGGACAGGTTGATTTAATTATGCCATTTACAGGTAAAGGTGTAATAAACCATAAAATTGGTAAAAACATAAAGAAAAGTTTTTGTATATCAAAATGTCACCATAAAACACGGTGTAAAAATTCACTGTGGTTAGAAGAGAAGGTGTGGCATCTCCCTTTGTCGTAATAAAGTTAAATCAAGTTAAAATCTCCAGCTGATTGATTTTTGGTATTATTATTATTATTATTATTGCGTAATTTGGTACGGTCACTTCTTTCTCAAATGTGTTCAGAGGCTCTTTACAATATACAAATATGATACGTACATAGATGGGTTTTTTAATTAGTTTTTAAAGTTTCTAGGCTGGATGACAGTTTAACGTTCAGCGGTTGAATTCCACAGAACAGGCACAAAATGAACAAACGATCTGTATCCAAATGATTTGAGTTTATATTTTGGGATTATAAGAAGATGTTCTTGTTGAGAACGGAGTGGACGTCTTGGAAAGTATGGTAATAACAGATCTTCTAGATAGGAAGTTCCAGTTCCATGTAAACACTTATACGCAAGGCACAAGAGCTTAAAATCTATTCTTGATTTAATTGGCAGCCAATGTAGTTCCACAGTTTAGAAACATGACAAAAAAACTCGCGATGAAAAAGAATGCTGAACTCCACGGCCTGGCAGAAAAAAAACCCATAAGTTATATAGATTTATATGCGCTTTGCAATACATGGTTGTATAGAAAGTTTTATATGCATTGTGCAATCGATGTTTATAAATGGTTGTGTAGGAAGGTACGAATGAAAGGGTAGACGGTTAATCACACCGTATTATTTCACTGATTGGACCACAGTTTAAAACAACCCAAATTGTATCTACCAGCGATAACATTAGAACTAACATAGTATGGGATGTATTAGTTGTGATTTTGTAGGTCTTAGTGGATAGATTATTACAGCTAGTCCAATTAATATTACTATCTGTCAGGATACTGTCTTGTACACGGTGAGTTATTACAACTGGCCCAACTACATGTAATATTACTGTATTCTACACGGTGTGTTAATACAGCTAGTATGGAATCTATTAGTTGGGATATTAGTAGCTTTTAGTGAATACATTCTGGAAAAACTGAATATAAAAGTTATTTTAACGAGTGGGATGACACTCAAAAACCTAATAAAAGCAGATGGAAGAATGGGTAACCAACGGCAAGATCTTAGAGATGTTATTTACAAGATAGACTTTAACTGTGATGCCTCGTACATAGGAGAAACGAAACGCCCAATATCAGTTAGGGTCAATGAACACCGACTGGCCATTATAAACAAGAACGGAGATAGATCAGCAATAGCCCAGCATATTATGGACAACCCTGGCCATACTATAAAATGGCGAGATAAACAGATCCTAACCAGAAACATCAAGTCCAGCAAACAGTTACATATCCGTGAAGTTATAGAAATCCGTAGACACAACCCGACTATTAATAGAGACACTGGTCTATATATATCCAATGCTTGGGATGACTTGATAGTTTAAGTCTGTGTTTTATGTGTTGTCAGAACTGTGAACGTCATTACGGTTACATGCTAGTTATACCTTAACAATTTAGTAGTTACTTTTAACGCTTAATTTGCATAGTATATTTTAATAATATGGTAGTGTTTGTTGACATGCTTATATTCTCGTTCTCCTGGTGTAATTAATAGATATTAGTTATATACATTAAAACATAGGATTCAATCAAGTTTAAGCAGTGTGGCCTGTTGTCTGATTAAATACTTATAAGTCTTATTTATTTTGTATAACCCTATTAGTTGGCATGTTGGGTTTAAGGTGTTGTCTCTATTATTTGAATATATTATATTTTCAGAATTACTGCCTAGTTCTAAGTTAACAATTATCAGTTGTGATTATTAATGTTGGTCTGATTAAGATGTTATATGGTAAAACCCTATTAAGGCTGATCTTTGATCTCTAGCACTTATTATCTGTGAATATCTTACTAAAGGGTCAGTCAATATTATTGTTTGTATTAGTTATGGTAATTGTAGGGCTTCTAATTATTTTATTTCTAAGTTAACAATTATTAAGTTGTGATTATTAATGTTGGTCTGATTAAGATGTTATATTATGCTGAAACCCTAATAAGGCTGATCTTTGATCTCGAGCACTGATTATTTGTGATTATCTTACCAAAGGCTCAATCAATCATATTGTTTGTATTAGTTATTGTTATTGTAGGGCTTCTAATTATTTTAATGGTTTCGTCTATTTTTAATTTAAGTTGGGGCAAGCCAAAATATGGATAAATAGGCTGACTAGATGGATATTTATCATTAACTTGAAAACATGACCTGTATGTGTTACGAAACGTCGTTATTAAATAACAGAGAAGTAGTTATATCCATATATATACCCTGTGTTGTGTTTTGTTATGAATACATTCTCACTGTCTATCAAGATACATTAAACTGACCTGTACACGGCGAGTTATTTATATGTCTTACGGTACCCTTTCCGATTACTGGGATGAACGGGATATTTTTTAATGGATTTCAGATTTGGTCTGAAGCATTTGGACTGTGAGGGTATGAACCCTATTGTCTTTCAGCTGTAGAATGAACACTACAGATTCTTTATCATTGAAGGGCTTCCTGATATATTACGTGCCCGTAAAAGCTTGTGAACACGATAGAGATCAGATTTCGTGAAGACATTGTATGTCATCAAATTTGATCCACATCCTTTCAGATTAGCTTCTGTCTGTGACTAGGATTTTTATATCAAGACATAGCATGATTTGGCTTTCTCTTAAATATTTATTATATATTCCTTTAATTTTTATTCCGTAAATCTTTCATCAATAATAAGGACATTATTTTGTTTAATTTCATCTCGACTATATCGTTTGGTTTACAAATTAATTCTAATTAAGGTAGAATGTTTAAAGAAGTATTATGTACGATTTAGAAAACCGGCTCACCCTTCGTGCTATAATAGTTCAAAAAATGCATGATGGATTATAGTGAAAATTTCAGTCAAATTACTCGCTTTTAAGTGACGTTTTCGGGCTTTGAAGTGTTCACAATATATTGATAGGATAATAAACGAAGTCCCGATTATCCATTTTGAACAACAGTTTGTTAGTTTGGTGAATGCATACTTACATCGAAAGTACTGCCCCCTGATATTTGTGAACGGATAGTTATAAAAATAATTGAGATGGCAATAGTTTTAAATGTTACAAAGATAACTGGTGGTCATTATGTTATTATTGTCCATCATTAGCATAATGCAAGTCGTGGGATCGCCTCTCAATTTATATGTTAAATTTAATGGTAATAATAGGCATGCATGACCCCAAATGATTGAATAGACTTTAAACAGAATTTATTTACGAATATCATCAAATTAGTTCGTGATATTTCCTAGTTTTATTAAAATACATACAATACATTAGATTTATATACAAAGGCGATTTCACTGTTTGTTGGTGGCGCTGATGGTCTTCCTTGGGTGGTGCTTCTGGTATTCTGGTATTATTGTTTCTGAAGAAAAAAGAAAAGAAATTTGAGGCTCTCGGGAGAGAGCCACATTAGTGTGTTTCCTACTACGGATTGGATTTTCTAAAAAATCGTGTTTGTTCCACATCACCGGGTTACGGCTAGGGATTCTTATATCTAATTGATTTTAATTACTAACGGTTAGGCATAGGATTTGATATATGGTTTGTTTTGGGTCAGGGTGGAGACTGGTCTTATTTAATCTAATTTACTGTGCACTAGGATGTCGTTCAGATTTTTATTTTTAGAATATGCAATTATAAGTTTCTGTGTGAATATTTTCGGGTGATTTTCTTGGAGATCAGTATAGTGTTTTCTGATGATTTTGGACGCACTTGCTGCTGTTGCGCTAAATGGAACTACAAAAGGAGCTATTGCGCTAGCCGTATGAATATTCAAACCTAGGGGGTCTGTTGTTTTCAATTTGTCAATCCAGAATTTTTCTCTTGTTAGCCTAAACGTTTTAATTTCTTCTGAAGTTTCAAAGTCGCTCTTGGTCTTTTCTATTGGCGTGACAATGAGATCAGAAATGTCATGATTTGGTTGGTTGAAATGAATTGAGACAGGTTTGTCTTTTTTGGTGACTATGTCAGACCGGTGACCGTTAATTCTTTTGACCCTATGAGGCCAGACTTGTGATTATGCAATCCGTGTTGATGGTTCTACTGGGATACCCACAGTTCCGTGCACCGTACGCCAAGAACTCGCCACAACAGACCGTTTCATTAGCTAATCCCTCACACCAACCAGACCGCGGGTTACATAACAACTCTTCCAGATCCTAGTGTGGTTAAGACAAGTAAAACGAAATTTTGAACTATGAAAAACGAAACGAAACGAAACGAAATTCGATGCGTGTTTTAATCAGCTTGCACCCGAATGTTCAATCGAGTATCAACCTATAGATCCGTATTGTTGTATAATATAAATTACAGAGTTTATCAAGTAATAAAGGTTAAAAGATCAAATATTATTCGTACAATTTCATCTTATTGTCACCAAATTACACTGATCTATTAAACATGCATTATGCAATAGCTAAATCTGCCCATTGCAGGTCTTTCATTAGGCCTGAAATGTTATATAAATTATTAATTAGACATTAATTAACTTATCAAGACCATAATCAACTCCCGATGTCATCGCTAGCCTGCAATATTTACCGGATTAGAACGGTCTGCTGCCTTTGATTAAATCCAAAGAATGGATAATCGAGACTATGTTTTTATCGTACAGACTTTATTAATGATGATCGAGGCTAGGCCTAAAATTTAATCGCTAAATTCTTGATTCAGAGTGACCAATTTGACTGAAATTTTCAGAAAATTCCCTTTTACATTATCTAGTTTTTATCTAATCTCCAATAATGTATCTTTAAACAGAATTAATCTCATTATCTATTTCCAGTATAACTATTTATTTTTTCCTATTTTTCTGAAGTTCGTAGATTTTGTTTGGATTGATTTGTATAAATCCTGTTGATTAAGATGTTGATTTAATTCTAACTTCACGTTCTTCTATTTCCAGTATAACTCATACAAAATGACACGTAACGTAATGAACATGATTCAAGTTTTGTTTCTTGTATCAACAGGTTGGTTTTATTTAACAACAGGTATGTTCATATTTAATTATGTATTTTACTGTTTTTTTCTGAAGTTCGCAGATGTGGAAGGTTGGATGGTCGAGTGGTTAGCACGTGCGCGCTGTATCATAAGACCTGTCATTGAGTCAACTGGCCTGGTTTCGAATCCCCGGTTGTACGTTACAAGGAGTAGTGTCGCCTTTCCAGCCTCGTGGGTTTTCGCCGGGTTCTCCGGTTTCCTCCCACTGCTAAAGACTCCTACACGCAAGCGAATTATTGAAATAAAATTAAACCATATGTTAGTCCCGAAATGACCTAGTTTGTGTCGAGTGGACGTTAAACCCCATTTCTTTCTCTAGTCTCTCTCTCTCTCTCTCTTTCGCAGATGATCAGTGTATCAGTGGCGTGTCTTTATTTAAACACAGGGGGAAGGGGCAGGAGTTTTTTTCAGGAGGTGCCCGGTACCTGAGGCAATGTAGCTTCTTAAAGAGAGATATCCAACACCCCGTCTGAGGTCAACTTTTATTATGAATTAATACGATGACATTGTTATTCAATTTCCTCCGGATCAATACGATGAAATTGTGATTCAATTTCCTCCGGATCCGTCTCTGCATCACAATTGAATCACAATTTCATCGTATATATATATATATATATGCCTAATTTGGCGACTAACCAACAAAAGTGCATATCGAGAGATGCACGTTTTGTTGCAAGTTAACTTAGTCTGGTGGCTCAGTTCGGGGGGGGGGGGGGGGTCCATCAAATGGGCACAAAACCAGACCCAACTTTTCTAGAGTAAAATTTTGCGTAGAATACGATGCCGAGTGGTAATCAGTCCGCCGTTGGGGCGTTTTCGAGATATTCGGGTCAAAGGTCAAATTGTTCATTTGCACTGAAAGTGAATGCTCAGTTATTCTTGTATCATAAAAATAAGCTGAAAATGATCGAAAGTAATCACACTTTCAACAAAAATGTCAACTTGCTAAATTCACCTTTGTTCTTTGTGACTCCAGAGGTCAAAAGGTCACGTTTTCCGTTTAGCACTAGGAAGATTTAAAGTAATAAATGTCAGCGTAAAATATAAAAACTAAAGTGAAGCCTGTTCTAATTAATAATAGGAACATTTAAAATTTATCTTTAGGTGGTCTTAGCACCGAACTTTTACTTTGGAACGTCGAAAATGATCTTGCATAATAGAACCAAAACGCTTCGGAACCTGTTTCAAAAATACGTGAAAATTTTTAATTCAAAATCTTTCCGTATTAGTTTTACAACGAATGCTATACATAATGATACTAGTTGTCTGAAAACTACAATTGTATAGTTTCGTGGCTGGACTCCAGCCTGGAGGCCGCGTCACAAAGCCTGCTAAACTTTTCCCCCGCTAACATTTACCAATACGACATATATATCCTGAGACTACTGTGTACAATGCATCCGTCGGTTTTATCTGCGTCCATGTTCCGGCGAAATTCATAAAAACTCATAAAAGATTTGCAAACTTTTAATCTCGTCGTCATATACGTGTTTTCCCGTCACAGATTAGCGTCGGTTTTCCTAGACTGGGATTCTTGGAAATCCACGCGACCTGCAGGCTGGAGTCCAACACTGAAACTATTCAATTGTTTTTCCAGATAAATAGTATCATTATGTATAACAATCGTTGTGAAAATAAATCGGAGAGATTTCGATTTGACAGTTTTTACGTATTTTTGAAACAGGTTTCAAAATGTGTTGGTTCTGTTATGCAAGATCATTTTCGACGTTCCAAAGTAAACGTACTGTGCTAAGACCCCCTAAAGATAAATTTAAAATATTCCTATTATTAATTAGAACAGGTTTCGCTTTAGTTTTTATATTTTACGTTGACATTTTATTGCTTTAAATCTTCTTAGTGCAAATACGGTAAATTTCACCTTTTGACCTCCAGGGTCACTAAGACTAAAGGTGAATTTAGCAAGTTTACATTTCTATTGAAAGTGTGATTACTTTCGATCATTTTCAGCTTCTTTTCATAATACAAGAATGACTGCGCATTCACTTTCAGTGCAAATGAACTCATTTGATCTTTGACCCCGAATATCTCGAAAACGCCCCAACGGCGGACTGATTACCACTCGGCATCGTATTCTACCCATAATTGTACTCTAGAAAAGTTGGTTCTGGTTTTGTGCCCATTTGATGGACCCCCCCCCCCCTGCGCTGAGCCTCCGGTCTAACTGTGATTTTTTGCGTGACTATCTGTACATTCCACCTTTAAGATAGATTACCGCAAGAAATAACAGTGCAAGCCAGTCGCTGTATTTTGTTGAACGAGGAGTGTATCTAATACAACGTGTTGACGACTTTTAAATCAATATTATTCTAGGACGATAATATTGCTACACTGTTTCAGTGTCCTTCCCTAATTACGTGAGAGAGAGAGAAAGAGAGATGGGGTTTAACGTCCACTCGACACAAACTAGGTAATTTCGGGACTAACACATGGTTTAATTTTATTTCAATAATTCGCTAGCGCGTAGGGGTCTTTAGCAGTGGGAGGAAACCGGAGGACCCGGAGAAAACCCACAAGGTTTGGCAGGCGACCCTACTCCTTGCCACGTACAACCGGGGATTCGAAACCACGCCAGTTGACTCTATGACAGACTTTATGGTACAGCGCGCACGTGCTAACCATAAAGCCACCAACCCCCCCCCCCACCCTAATTACGTCAGTAGCATAGTAAAATCAATATAATTATACAAGAGATATTTTCATTATTCAATACTTATGTCACTCTCATTCATATATAGATCTATATTTCGTTTCGTTTTTTATACTTTCGATGGCCTACACTACATAAAGATCTGACAGATTGGTTGTAGTGGAAGGTCGCGTCAGGGGTCGTACGAGCGGCTTTTAACCCTATGACGTCAGACATTGATTAATCAATCAGAGTTGACGTTTCTAGTGGTTTATCCAAAGTTTCGTGCACCTCACCCCAAAAACTCACCGTAACAGATCGTTTCATTGGCTAATCCCTCATTTCAAATAGAACGCGGGTTATATAACAACTCTTCCAGATCCTAGTGTAGTAAAGACAAGTAAAACGAAATTTTGAACTATAAAAAACGAACTGAAATAGGATATATGTTTTAACCAGACTGTACCTATGTTAATTATTGCTCTATTTTAAGCAAGGGCAACAAGACACCAGATCTACCCACGTCCTACTTTCAATGAAACTGAACAGAATGTAACTGTGAGGGTTGGTGATGATGCCAGGTTGCCATGTTCTGTTCAAAATCTTGGTACCAAAGTGGTAAGCATGACAACCATTTATTATACCCTGGAAACAGATATTGCACTTAGTCGGGCAAAGAACAGCCTCTAGTCATTCGGATGGGACGAAAACCCGGGGTCCCGTGTACTGTTGGATTCAGTTGCTGTCTGGACAAACGTTTCCTCAAATCACCGGACATGACGTACGTATGTCCGCCTGATTGGTGTAGAAAGTTAGACGCCATTTCATTTTATTTCATGTCATCGCTTAATCAATTAGATCAGGAGCAATATAGGTACACGAAGCCACGGTGGTTTAGTGAGTATGACGTTGGTGGGGTTCACCTTTGTCAGTGGTGTAGGACGGAGTGCCTGGTAAGTCTTTCAAATGGGACGAAAAAGCGAGATCCCGTGTACACATTGGCGTGCACTTAAAGGAGTAGACTGTAGCGCCGCTGTCCGGACAAAATTTCCCCGATAGCACACCACATGTCCTATGCCCGTCTTCATAGCCCAATGGGACCAGAACAGTAGGACGTTCAACCCTATTTTGTTTCCTATAGGTTTTGTGGTATAAAGCAGACCAACCTGCTCCCATAACAATAGGTCTATTTACCTACGCATCAGATGGCAATTATTATCTGGAACATCAAGTGACATCTGTATCCGGTTCCCAGTGGAATTTACATATCCAGGATGTTAATTACCAGCATGCCGGTGTCTACGTGTGTAAATTAGCTGACAGAAGAGAAAGTGCCGAGAGAAACGTTAAATTGAATGTTGTAGGTAAGATCTAAGACAGAGAGTGAGAGAGTGAGGGGGGGGGGTCTACAGCAGTGGCAATTTTTGGTGTGGAATCGAAGAAAGGGTTTGATTATACATCTTCTGCCAGGTTTTGGTATATATTCATGATTTTGAGGCGGAAGGATATGAGGTTGATATGAAGGATTTGTTTACTTGTTAAGCAAGATGATGCTCCGTGTTACTAACATCTCTCGTAGAAAGCGTTCAATCGATCGGGCATTTTGGGGAAAATTAGAGGTGGTCTAAGATGTGGGGAAAGGAACCTATCCTTCTATTTTCAACTTACAGTGTTTTTAATGTCAATATATATATAGTAACCTATCATTCTACTTTCATTTTATATATATATAAATAGTAACAGATCATTCTACTTTCGTTTTATATTGTTTTATTATCGGTAAACCCTGGTGTGTTTCAGGTTGATTGATTGATACAAGATGCACCCTTTAACTTAATACACTGTACTCCACATGTGATACAAGATGTACCTTTCATCGCAAGAGAATAAGACGTTCCTAGATTTCTGTAAATAATAATTCCTGTAAACAATATCTAAAGTATAGAACCTAACGGCCTCTACAGAAAATCGTGCGAAGTAGCTGCTGTTACCTGACAACTCTCACCAATTGGACTTTAGAATTTGTTTTACATGACAACAGCCAGCATGCGGAAGATTTAAACTTTGATATAAGGAATATGAGTGGACTTTATAATAGATTCATCTGATCAGATAATTTCATTATTCAAGTAGTGGTAATTAACTGTGTTATTCCCCATATTAATTATAATTCTACCGTACATCTATAGCCACCTCCATTACCTGAGATAATTCTACCGTACATCTATAGTCACCCCCATTCCCTGAAATAATTCTACCGTATATCTATAGTCAGCCCCATTCCCTGAGATAATTCTACCGTACAACTATAGCCACCCCCATTCCTTGAAAAAATTCTACCGTACAGCTATAGTCATCCCCATTCCCTGATATAATGCAAGATGGGAATAACCATGGTCTGATACCTGTAAAATTCGCCCAACTGAAGTTAATAAGTCAGGTTTCGATACCCGGCTTGTACGTGATAAGTGTAATAATATTGGGTGATTTCCCGACATTATTCTGTATTTGTTAAAAGAAACAGTTTAGTTCTAGAGTCAGTTTATACCTGTCTTTCATGTTCACAAAGTCTATAGAGCAAACCATTCGTCATACAGGTAGGATCTGTTGGGATCTCTTGATCTTGAAATGGGTAAGGGGGGTTGGATGGCTGAATGGTTAGCGTGCGCGCGCTGTATCATAAAGTCTGTCATTGAGTCGACTGGCGTGGTTTCGAATCCCCGGTTGTACGTGACAAGGAGTAGGGTCGCCTGTCCAACCTCGTGGGTTTTCTCCGGGTCCTCCGGTTTCCTCCCACTGCTAAAGACCCCTACGCGCAAGCGAATTATTGAAATAAAATTAAACCTTATGTTAGTCCCGAATTGACCTAGTTTGTGTCGAGTGGACGTTAAACCCCATTTCGCTGTCTCTCTATCTGAAATAAGTAAATATAATACACTTGTGGTGGTTTATAAAAATACGATTTTGATTTATTGCCATTGATAAATAATTAAAATGTAAATATAAGGCATGGAAGGATATACAATGGATTTCATTATGTGTAGGCATTTATGTGTCACTACGGGGTATATGTGACTATCCCGGTCATGGACTCCAAATAAGAGATAGGCTGTGACACTATCGTCTAGGACTTTCTTCAACTTCACGTTGTACAATCAATTATTTCAATCACCAATTAACGGACTCTGGAATACCGTTGACGTTGTTACTAAGTTTATATAATTAAATACATACAGCAAACTACAAAGTTATGATAGTACTTTTCGAGCTCCGAATAATGTCTTCCCTACGGACTCATCATGATACCTGAAGGTAAATCAAACAGGAAGTATATTGCGTCATCTATTAGGGCGGGACTATTACCATTTTTCCGTAAGTGTTTCGTAAAGGCACCGTTTTACGTCAACACTATTCTAGTTAACTGTACTAATCCGTACACGAGATGACTGGACTATAGTACCCTACTTCCAGCAATGGATAATGACATAACTGTCGGCGAGTTAGTCTAAGATAGTAGTAGAATAAAGCACGCTACTTCATTACCCTAGTTTTCGTCACACATCATGTAGGTAAAGAATTTCTATATTAAACAGAACACCTTTCTTATAACTAAAATAAACCCTATAGTATTACAAAACGCCCCTTTGCAATGCGTTAAATAAGCAATGTTGCTTAATTAACGCTTATTATGTCCCATGCAATAAATACAATATAATATCAATACTTAAAAGCTCTAAATATGTCCATTAAAATTTCAAGTCCTAATTCTAAAATATCATTATACTAATAAACATGATACAATAATATACTCCCTTATCAATAGAAAATTAACAGATTGTACACTTAACAATGTCTGTCATATTTTTTATTGACAAAAATGTTCTGATTGTCCACTTAAAACAGGTCGTTTTAAAACAAGTTAAGAAGCTTGATTTTCATAAAATCCTTTGCTCTGTTAGGCACTCCCATTGGTTCTTTGATACAACATTTTTCGGCAGTCCAGTGATTAGAACATCCCACGTTTAAACCCAGAGACTGGGCTGATAACATTCACTGGGAATTTTCAAGACAGGTTCCAGCTTGTCACAGGTAAGGCCTATGGGGGACAGACATAGAAATTGGCCAGTCAGATATGAAGACAACAAAAAACATGGTCGTTGTTGACAGAGTAGGCAGATATGCTGCTGTTTTGGCAAAATTCTCTTTACTGCATATAATCAAAGTCAATCATAAAAATCGTATTTAAACTTGAAAATGATGTAGGTAAGACGTTAAACTCATTCTGTAAGCCAGAAAGTTTGTCTGACCATCTGCCAAGGTTCCTTCTAAAATTCAAACACCTACATTATAAGGATGCTAATTCACGAATGGCGTTCTACTCTCTAAACCTCAAGGCATATATTTGTAGAGTTAAAACTAATACATGTTTTTCTTTTAGTACAAGTCGAGGCTGGTCTTCATGTTCTTTCAATATTGTGGTGTTAAATGGTGAATACAAACACGTAAAACATGTATTTAAATAGTTCCATTGTTTAAACATTAAATAATAAATGCATTGTATTTCTAGCAGACGACATATTGCTTATAGTGTGCATAAATGATAAAAGCCTAACCCGAATATTTATAATATTCTTCGTGTTTGATGAGTGCCAACTTCCCGGTGGGTTTGATGAGTGCCAACGTCCTGGTAAGTAAGTACTCCAAGTGACTTCTATTGTTATCAAAGATGACACTAACAAGGAAATGAAATGAAATGAAATGGGGTTTAACGTCCTACTGTTCAGCTATGTACATGATAAGCCGTGTTAAGCTTTATTAGGGTTTGTAATTTTAATAATCAGTGTTAGTCAAGGAAGTTCTTTCAATTTATTGACAATTTTTATATATGTTTGAAATTATATATATCGTTAAATTTGTTATACCTATATATAGTGTATCCTTATAAAATAAATCGCGCAGCAAGGGATCCCACATCGACTCCCATAACTCATTGATTTGAAAATCAGATTTTGTTTTGTATGTGTTAGTTATAGTCAATTTGTTCAAGTACAAATAAGTTTATCAGATCATATCAAATTATAAGTTATTTCTCCTTTATATTACTTATGGCAGTTAATAGGTAAAGACAGCCATGTTGTCTAATATAGTCGCATACCCATAAGCAATAAAACATATACAACATCTGATCCAGTTATTTTCAGTTCATAGAGCGGAATCAGCTGTAATTCTTTACTCCTCTCCCCATGTCTTCTAACTGGTAGATTTTTAACGAATATTTTTCCACTTAGTTGCTTTTAATTTTAAGGTTTTGATTCCTGTGGGGAAGCACTCCACCCATATCTCACACTTCCTATGGATTAGCGCTTCCTGAGTGAATAAATATAAGGATTACTTGTTCAATGTAACCTTAAACAGACATAAATTTTCATTTCTTAACCAACCGTGAAAAGAAAGCGACCAATGGCATACTTATATGTATTGAACGGTAAATGGGCCTGTAGAATTTTTATTACAAAATGACCTACTGATTTATGCACAGGCCATTCGTTATTTATACATTTGAAAAGCCATTTAAATCATTTCATCATGTATTATTTATACCGGTAGAAAATGGTGAA